AACCTTCGAGAGGGGCCCAGGAGACAAATATCATGGATGTGTGATAGGTGTTTGACAGTCTGCTCGCTCTTGGGGGCCTTGGTGCGAAGAACTTGTTGCGTCACTGTGAGCCCGTCGGAACCACAGTGTAATCTGACGCAGAGAGGACGGGGGGGGCACGGGGGGCCGCGGTCGGGCAGGGGGCATGGTCGGCCGGTCGGTCGGAATAAGCAAGGGGGGGGGGGGGGGCACGGGGGAAGAGGGGGGGCGCGGGGGGCAACGGTCGGGCGGGGGGGGGCGGGGGGAGCACGGTCGGCCGGTCGGAATAAGCAGATGGGGGGGGGGGGCACGGGGGCCGCGGTCGGGCCAGGAAGTCTGGGGCACGGTCGGTCGGAAACACGCAGAGGAGGGGGGGGGGGGGGCGCGGGGGGGAGAGGGCGGCACGGGGGGCCACGGTCGGGCAGCGGGGGGGGGCACGGTCGGTCGGAGTGCGCAGGAGGAGGGGGCGCGGGGGGGAGGGGGATGGGGGCAAAGGGGGCCAGGGCCGGTCGAGGAGAGCGGGGGGCACGGTCGATCGGTCGGCATAAGCGGAGGGGGGGGGCGGGGGGGAGGGGGGGCATGGGGGGGCACGGTCGGGCAGGGGGGGGGGGGCACGGTCGGTCGGTCGGAATAAAATTCTGCGCCGTGTAGTGCACGGCGGGACGCCAAGCTTACAAAAAGGAAGTCTGGCTCTGGTTTGGTTGGTCTGGTTGCTCTGGTTTGAGCTTCGTTTTGCAGCCTTAGCTTAGGATCCAGGCGAAAGTGGTTTAGGGGAGGTCCGGCGAGGCAGCACCCACCACCACAACGTCCAAAATGCTGTTTTTTTCCATTGCAGTTTTTGTTTGCATCTGGTTTGGTTGGTCTGGTTTGAGCTTCGTCTTGCAGCCTTAGCTTAGGATCCGGGCGAGAGTGGTTTAGGGGAGATCCAGCGAGGCAGCGCCAACCACCACGACGACAATCGAATTGCAATTTTTTGTTGCATCGCATTCTTTCTTGCTTTGCAGTTTTGTTGCAATGCAGTTTTTTTGCATCTGGTCTGGCTGGTCTGGTTCATCTGGTTTGAGCTTCGTCTTACAGCCTTAGCTTAGGATCCGGGCGAGAGTGATTCAGGGGAGGTCCGGCGAGGCAGCGCCAACCATAGCGCCAATCATCACGACGACCGAAATTCAGTTTTTTGCATTACATTTGTTTTGCTCTGCAGTTTGTTTTCGCATTGTGTTTGCATCTGGTCTAGCTGGTCTGTTTTTTTTTTGCAGCCGCAGCTTAGGATCCAAGCGAGAGTGGTTTAGGGGAGGTCTGGCGAGGCAGCGCCCACCACCACGACGACGACCGAAATGCAGTCTTTGTTGCATTGCAGGTATTTTGTTTCGCAGTGATTTTTTGCACCGCGGTTTTTGTATGCATCTTGTGGCTGGTCTGGTTGGTATGGTTTGAGCTTCGTCTTGCGGCCTTAGCTTAGGATCTGGGCGAGAGTAGTTTACGGGAGGTCCGGCGAGGCAGCGCCAACCACCACGACGACGACCGAAATTCAGTTTTTTTGCATTGCAGTTTCTTTTTGCTTAGCCATTGCAGTTGTTTGCATTTGATCTTGCTGGTCTGGTTGGTCTGTCTACTTTAAGCTTTGTCTTGCAGCCTTAGCGTAGGATCCAGGCGAGATTAGGTTAGGGGAGGGTCGGCGAGGCAGCGCCAGCCACCACGACGATCGAAATGCATTATTTGTGCGTTGCATTTGCTTGTTGCTTTGTAGCGTTTTTTTTGCATTGCAGTTTTTTTTCCATCTGGTCTGGCTGGTCTGGTTGGTCTGGTCTGAGCTTCGTCTTGCAGCCTGAGCTCAGCTATGGTCTGGTGGGTCTGGCCTCGCTCAGTTGTCTGGTCTGGTTGGTTTGGTATACAGTCGGGGCCCTGAAGAAGGAACCCTTTTCGTTGGGGAGGGGCTCCGCGTTCCTTAAGTGTTTCGCAGCTTGCCTCAGGTTGTCCGTAGGTTTTCGATCGGAAATCGAAGTTTAGTGTATGGAAAAAAAGGGGCCTCGTTCCTTATTTTGGGTTCCTTAGGTCAAGGCCTCGACTGTAGTCTGGTTGGTCTGGCCACTCTTGCGCAGGAGCGAACTGACATACGGGGCGGCGGGCGCAGCGGGCCTCGGGGGCGAACTGAAGTACAGGGCGGCGGACACAGCGGGCCTCGGGGGCGAACTGAAATACGGGTCCGCGGACACATTGGGGCTCGGGGGCGAACTGAAATATAGGACGGCGGCCTCAGCGGGCCTCATGGGCGAATTGACATACAGGACGGCGGCCCCCAGGAGCCTCAGGGGCGGAGATACAGGACGGGGGGCCGTTTCCAGGCCGCTGGCGGCAACGCAATTGAGGCATATAAAGATAGTGAACACATATTGTACTGTTGATTATGGTGGCCTCAGGTCGTTAAGTCGGAGCGGTGCAGCGTATACCGTGTCGCCACAAGTACACAATGAAGTCATGCGTTTATCCCTCATCAATTTTCCATTCCATCATTATGCTGCGAGGCTCAATGCTACTTTCGAGCGTCTGCTCCGTAGTTGGTTTGGCTGATCTGGCTGGTCTGGCTGATTGTCAGCCTCGTTCTCCAGCGGAAGTTCAATACCTGCCTCGTCTGCTTGATCTGTTTGGTCTGGCTGCTCCTGTTGGCTGTTGCCTCGTTCTCCAGCGGAAGCTGAATACCTGCCTCGTCCGTTTTGTCTGGCTGGTCTCGCTGGACTGGCTGGGATGACTGTCTAGTTGGTCTGGTGAGTCTGGCTCGCCTGTTGGTCTGGTTGCCCTGGCTGGTCTGGCTGCTCTTGTAGACTGTTGGTTCCTTCTCCAGCGGAACTTGAATTCCTGCCTCGCCTGATTGGTCTGGCTGGTCTGGCTGGGCTTGCTGGGCTGACTGGTCTGAGGCGTCTAGTTGGTCTGGTGAGTCTGGCTCGCCTGCCTGGTCTCGTGCGCATGTTTGGTGTCGATGGTCTTGCGTTCTTCCTCTGCCCCCACCACGACACAGACCAACCAGACCAGCCAGACCAACCAGACTGGCGCACGGCGGGACGCCAAGCTTCAACAGTGCAAGCTTTAAATCTTGAGCTTACGCTCCAGCTTAAGACTTAAGCTGGTCTGGCTGGTCTACCTGGCCGATCTGACTGGCTGGTCTGACTGGCCAGGTCTGGCCTGGTTCGTCCAGTCAAATTGGTCTGCTTGGTCCGGCCAGACTGATCTGCTTAGTCTGGTCTGGGTTTCGCTGGTCTGAACGGCTAGCTGATGTGCGTGGTTTGGTTGGTCTACCTGACTAGTTGGGCTGGCTGGTCTGACTAGTCTGCTTGGTTCAGGCAGGTCGGTCTGCTTAGTCTGGTCTGTGCTTCGTTGGTCCGCACGGCTGGCTGGTCTGGCTGGTCTGATTAATCTACCTGGCTGGTCTGGTTGATCTACCTTGCCAGTCTGACTGGGTCGTCTGGCTAATCTGCTTGGTCGTCGCCGTCGTCCTTGTCCTCGCCCTCGACTGCCTCGTCGTCGTCGTCGTCGTCGTCGTCGTCGTCGTCGTCGTCGTCATCGTCCTGCCCCTTGCGTCGCCGAGCCGGAGCTGGGACCGAAAGCGCTGCTGCGTCAAGTCCGGCTGCGGCGGAAAGGAAGGTGGGGAGCGAGAAAACATCAGCAGCCATGCCAGTTCATATGCCCCGAAGCTAAGTGAGGCGCTGGGGCATAACAACTTGTCGCTTCGAACGGCAGGTGAGAAGCAAATGGGGGCGCGGAGGGAAGTGGGGGGCGCGGGGGGGCACAGTCAGGCAGGGGGGGGCACGGCCGGTCGGTCGGAATAAGCAGAGGGGGGCCACAGGGGGAAGTGGGGGGGGCACGGGGGGCCACGGACGGGCTGGGGCGGCGCGCGGTCGGTCGGTCGGAATGGGGGGGACGGGGGCCACGGTCGGGTAGGGGTTGCACGGTCGGTCGGTCGGAATGAGCAGATGGGGGGGTCATGGTCGGGCAGAGGGAGGGCACGGGGGAGGGCGTGATCGGGCAGTGGGGGCACGGTCGGTCGGAATAAGCAAAAGAGGCGGGGTACGGGGGGAAGGGGGGGTGCGGGGGGCCACGGTCGAGTAGGGGGGGGGGTGCGGTCGATCGGTCGGAATACGAAGAGAGAAAGGGCGCGGAGAAAAGGGGGTGGGGGCGGGAAGCCACGGTCGGGCAGAGGGGGGGGCGGCGCGGTCGGTCGGTCGGAATAAGCAGAGGGGGGGCACAATGAGAAGGGTGGGAGGCACGGGTGCCGCGGTCTGGCATGGGGGGGGGGGGGGGCACGGTCGGTCGGCTGGATCAAGCAGAGGGCGGGTGCCACGGGGGGGAAGGGCGGGGGCACGAGGGGCGACAGTCAAGCAGAGGGGAGAGGGCGCGGTCGGTCGGTCGGAATTCACAGAAGGGGGGCCACGGGGGGGAAGGGGGGGCACGAGGGGCCGCGGTCGGGCAGAGGGGGGGCACGGACGGTCGTCGGCATGAGCAGAGGGGGTGGCACGGGAGGAAGGGGGGACACAGAGGGGGGCCATGGTCGGGCAGGGGGGGCACGGTCGGTTGGTCGGAATATGCAGAGGGGGGCACGGGGGAAACGGGGTGGGGGGCACGGGGGGCCACGGCGGTCGGGCAGGGGGGGGAGGGGGCGGGGGATGCGGTCGGTTGGTCGGAATGAACAGAGAGGGCTACTTCCCAGCAGCCACAAATATCCGAGTACGTCCACACATCTCAGCACACCGATCCCAGCACACCGAGGCAGTCCACGGACACATCCCAACACCGATAACATCGATCCAGCATCCCAGCACCGAGCACATTGATGCAATACGCCGACACATGCCAGCACGCAGCCTGGCCCAGCACACCGAGGCAGTCACGCATCCTAGCACACGAAACCCCGCGTCGCGGCCATCATTTTTTCGGGGGTCCTGTTCCGTCGGTTTCGGTCCTGGGCCGTTTTTTCATGAGAAAGGGAGGCTTACGAAAGGGAGGTTTGTCCACCGCCGAGGGGTCGATGGGTTGGGGTGTATATGCCGAGCGATACGCGATCAGCGACGAGCGGTCGCTCTTGATCTCTAGTGTTGTTGGTGTTGCTGCTGCCGGCGTAGCTAGTTGTCGTGCCGCAAGGTGCGAGCCCTGCAGGCAAAGGTACTCGCAGGGCCAGCTCCGGACATCCGCCGTCGCGGGCCTCGGGCCGCGGCACGAGCGAGGCGAACGCACGCGGGTCGACGGCGTCGACACTCGGGAAAGGAGTCGTGCCAAGGACGCGCTGCCCCACGGGAGTCCGTCGGCGTGTGGCTCCTCCGTGCTCGCCCGGAGGAGCGGTGCCTCTTCCGCCGCAGCGCGCCGATAGGGGGTCCTTCGGCGGCAGTGCCCTTGGCACGCACTGCCTTTTGTGCTTTCCCAGGCACTCGCGCATTGGGGTGCCTGCGTAAGTCAGGAGGGGAAACAACACACAGACACAACTAATCGCCGACTCCCAGGAAAATATAGGAAAATATGGGAAGTGGGGGGGCAGACAGAAACCCAGAAAATGTGGGAACATATGGGGCATCTTTTTATTTGTGTGTATCTACTTGTGTGTCCCAGGGCCCCTTCAGTAAGGTCGCCCGCAGCCGCCCTCCTTCCCACGCTGTGCGCGTCGCAGGCGGCCTGCGCAAGCTGACGCGTAGGGCCGTCGCGCCCCCTCACGTAAGACCACCTTCCTTTTTGTCGCCCGCGTGTCGTTGAGCTCGTTCCACTGCTCTCGCAAAGTGCCTCCCCGCAGGCATCTGAAAGGCACACATGGCTTCTTCTGTGTGGTGGATCGTGGACCCTCGTGGCGGATCCAGGCCATTTGCGAGCAGTTCCTCTGCGAGCAGTTCCTCTGCGAGCAGTGGGACTCCCCCCGACCTGTTTTATGTCGGGCCTGTCCCTCTACAGGAGGAATATTCAAAAACAGTAAAAAAATAGTAGTGTGGGGATCATGTTTTGAGTATTTTGAAGCAGTCCTTGCATATGTTTGGCATTTCTTATTTCGAACATCTGCCTGTCGGGGGAACACGCTCGTTCCTTGGGATTGGCTTTCCGTTCCGAATCGTCCCTGGAGGGCCCCGGCGGCCCGAGGCGGGCTTCTGGGGCCCCTCCGGGGGCCCCCAGGCTGGGCAAGGATCCGCCGTCCCGAGCTTTCCGCGGGAACCTTCCCTGGGGTTATGTTGCTCCCATCGTACTGAAGGGCCACATCCCAGAAATCATTTCGAGCACCCGGAAAAGTGTCGAGAGAGTGTCGAAACGGTGTCGAAACGGCGTCGGGCGAGTGCCTCCCAGGGCCCAACGCGTGAAGACCCTCGAGTTTCGCTTTTTTGGGGGGCTCGAGGTTCCTGCTGGTGATCAAGGCTGAAGTAGGTTGGAACATCATAACCCTGGGGTTCTCGGAGGTCACGGGAGACCCCGAAGGTCTCCAGGGGGGCCAGCTTCTGGAGCCTTGAGACGGGGGTCAATGCAAACGGGGGTCAGTCAGAGCGCTGGATCTCGCAGGACCCTGTAGAACCATGGGTGCATTGACCGGGCTTGGGTGCAAGGTCCTGCAAGATCCTGCAGGATTTTGCATGATTCTGCAAAGCCTGGCTTACCTGGGTATGGATGGACCTCGGTCAGTAGATCACCGAAGATCTGCCGTTCCGAGTTTTTCGTAGTTACCTTCCCTGGGGGTCTCAAGAGGTCACTGGAGACCCCAGAGGTCTCCAGGGGTGCCAGCTTCTTCTGGCCGAAAAACTCAGGAGTTCAGTCGTGACCCTTTCCCTCCAACGTCGCATTCGCTTCGTGATGCGGGCCCCTGGGGATCTCGCTCCCTGCCACGCGGCCAGCTCTTCATCCTGAACTGTTTTGTTTTTGTTGACAGTCTTGGGATAGGGCCACAGGATGTCGAAAATGCTGTCCAGAACCCGCCGTCGCGATTCGTCTTGCGACGCCCGCATCTGAGGGTCGCCACGGAGGATGTCTGTCGGGGGCAGCGCTCGGGGAGGATAGGGCTCAGGGGCGGGGTGGACGACTCGAGCCCAGTCGCCCACTCATGGCCGGTGGGGGCCCAGTAGCGGCAGCCCAGGGGCCCATCGCCGATCTGTCGGCGGTGTACCGACGACTCCAGCTCGGTGCTCCACCCCAGCCCCCCTCTGAGCCGTTCAATGGATTTCCGTTTCGGGGACCTTCCTGGGGCCCACTCGCTGGATCTGTTCGCCTCTAGTTCGAGTCTGGCTCGGTTTCAGTTCGGCTCTATCTCAGGTCAAGTTCGGCTCAGGGTCGACTCAAGTCGACGGACGTTCGACGGAGCATGGACCATGATTGGAGCGATTGGATCCACGAAGGTCCCCAGAACGAGCATCTGTTGGGCTGGGTTGGACGAGTGCGAGGGGGAGAGGGAAAAGAGGGGATACGAAACCTGTTGCCTGCAGCCAGTCTCGGTCCCGCCGCCTGGCGCCTTCTTCGATACCCCAGCGCTTCTGGCGCCGGGAGGCGCCGGGGAAGTCGGCAACATGCTACCCAGACATCCGTCTCGGTTTTTTCGAGACGCGGGCCCCCAACCTCCCGACCACTTCCCAGGGGGGCCGGTTTCCCATCCCCAGCCGTTTTTTGACGACCCCGAGGCCCGGCGAGGGCCCCCCAGAGGCCGCAGACTGCGAGGGAAGCCTCCGCCCCGAGTTTGTCGGGGCGCCCGACGTCTGGGTCCCCCCCCTCTACCGTCGGCTGTGCGCAAGAGTGACCCTGGGTAAGGGTGACTTTTGGTGCGCGGCATTACAGTCGGGGCCCTGAAGAAGGAACCCTTTTCGTTGGGGAGGGACTCCGTGTTCCTTAAGTGTTTCACAGCTTGCCTCAGGTTTTCCTTATGTTTTCGATCGGAAATCGAAGTTAAACTTGTGGAAAAAAGGGGCCTCGTTCCTTACTTAGGGTTCCTTGGGTCAAGCCCCCGACTGTAGGGGGGCGCGGGGGAGCCAAACCCAAGCGCGCAGGCCGTTGGCATCGCAGCGCCTTCGGCGCCTGGGGGACCCCCTGGGGCCCCGCACCGGAGGCCACATCCTGCGAGAGGTCACTCTTACGCCCAGCCGATGCCGCCCGGCCCGAGTCTGTCGCCGCACCCCCCCCCCCAATCGCCGCACGCGCTGCGACTTTGGCGCGCCCTGCGCGCTCGGGTTTGGCTCTCCCCCCGCGCCCCCCTAAATTCACCACCCACCAAACCACCCCAACCCAACCCGAAGGCTCAGATTTACCCTCGATTTCCAGTGGTGGGGGGGTCGGGAAACATTGAAAAAAACACATGTGGAACCCTTAACCCCCCCAACCCGAAATTCGGGTCTTCGGGTTGGGTTGGGGTGGTCTGGTAGGCAGTCATAAATGCCGCGCACCCAAAGGTCGCCCTTGCCCAGTGTGTCACTCTTGCGTTCCGCCGGTGCCGTCCGGCCCCACGTCTGTCGCCCAGCCCCCCCCCTTGTCGTTGCCCCCCCCCGGCCTTGGGAGCCGCCGAGAATTCGCCCCGCCGGCCGGGGCGGCAGGCCCAGGCCGGCCACTGGCGGGCGCCCCTCCCGGGCGCGCGCGCGGCGCGGGCCCCTCGAAGAGGGCCGCGCGGAGGGCGCGTGCGCGGGAGTGCCGCGCGCGGGGGCAACAGGCGGCGGCCCCCACGCTTCCGCGTCCGTCCCGCTCTGCCTTGCCTTCCTTCCTTCCTTCCCGCCTCCCTCCCTCCTCCTTGCCCCCTCCTTCCCTCCCCTCCTCCTCCCTCCCCTCTCCCTCTCCTTTCCCACTTTTGCTCGAGGTATCCCTCCGGGCAGAAGCAGGCGTCCGATCAGCGCACCGAAGACTGGCAGAGGCTTCCGTTCCATTCATCCACACCGCAGCCCCGTCCGTCCGTTTTCCCGGTCCCCCTTTCAGGCCCGCAGGTCCCTCAGCCATCACAGGTGCTGACCATTGTGACATTGTCGTTGACGCCGACGAGGGTGGTGCAGGCGACAAACGCCCAAGTCCTCGAGCACCCCCAAGCGATAATTTCACTGATAGCGAGGCTCGACTTCTACATGATATGTCAGCCCAGACGAGCGAGCACCTGGTTTATGACGCACATTATATCTCTGAATCCGAGCCGGCGTTGAGAATGGTCATCGAGAAGCTGAATTCTCTCGAGGGTCGCATGCATCTCGTGGAGAAAAGCAGCGGCGGTTGCGGAACGGGCTCCGCTGGCGGCGACTTGGGGCAACCTGGATCCGCTTCTCCAGCCCTGTGATCTCCGACAGTACTGCACCTTCTCCCTTCCGAGCTCCAATTGCCAAGCGCAAGACAATTCGCGTCTGAGGTTACGCCTGCGCCGCGGGGTCCGAGCTCCATGCAGATCTGAGCGAGGCGCTCAACTCAGCCGGCTTCTCCGTGGCAAATGGCCGAGTCTCTCGCGTGTGCGTTGTCGTTTTCTGCACGGAACGGTGCAACATCGAGTTCCTGTCTAGCGCGCACATGTGGACTTTATCTGTATCGATGAAGGGCCAGAACGTACCGCGCAATTTCGCCCAGCAGGGTCGTCCACCTTATGTCACCCGTCCAGGCTGTCGCAGTTTGTGGCATTCAATCGACAAGTACCCAGAAGATCTTGAGTGATCGCCCGCAGGCGCGCAAAGTGGTGATCGAGGCTCTTCGCTCCTGCGGCCCCAGCCCAAGCGAGGAGGCGCTCGAGGTAGCAGTCGACTCCACGAAAGATCCGGGCAGTGTAGTTCTGCGCAGGCACCTTGCTAGTTTAGCAATCCCGCCTCTCTTGGGCTCTTTATTCCCAGCTTCCCCATTCACATGCTCCGTGCCGCTCGAATTCGCTTTGAGTCCAGGGGAGATCTCCTGATTGTGGGTTAGAGCGCTAAGGCAGTTCGAGTTGCGGCGCTGCAAACTGTTTCGGCATTCTAGAAGAAGAACCTCGACGGACCCTTCTTTGCCTGCGAGGATACACACATGTACAACGTGATGCCGCTGCTGACGCCTCGGGTCACGCATTTTTCTGGTGTCTACTGGGGATCACGCGAAGGGCGACTGCAATCCATAAGAATTTCAGGACCTGGGCCAGCTGCCCTCCAGATATTCTAGCTCTGCCATCGCCCTTGTGGTTGATTTTGCAGTCATCTCGAGCCTTCAGGTTCGCGCCCCATTTTTTTGTGGGACTTCGACAAGATGCAAGACCTTATAGATAACGCGCCCAACGACCACGCGGCTTTTTGTTGAATTGTCTGTTTTCCAGACTCGTATGGCTCCTTGGGCAATGTTGAATCTTTTGCCAGGCGTTTCCAGGCTGGCTGTGCTCGACACATTGTATCCGAAGTGCTTTGGAGTTATGTAACTGACCGACAATGCGGTTTAACAGACAGGCGCTATCGAAATGCGCCTGTGGCTGCTAGCGCAGGCCATCGGATCTTGCAAGCGCCTGATTCTTCCAGGTACCGCGATTGACTTGCTTTTTGACTCCTTGCGTTCTCGGCGTCCTCGGCTCCAAATTTCTTCCCGTGCACGATGTGCTGATGCCTAGTGTGCTTGCCCACCTGCGGTCGCGCGTGAAACGGGTCTGCGATGCCGAACCTTCCTTGGCCTTGGTATTCGGCAGCCTGACGGAGCGTGGCCCCAGGCCCCAGGGCCGTCGGCTTCGTCCCAGGAGTGGGCCCGCCGTTTCATCTCATCGGCATGGTGGAGTCCTCACGTTGCATCTTCGGGGGGCCTCGCCTGTCCCGGAAAGTGGTGTCGTCGTTTCCTGTGCCTGACGCGGGCTCGATGCGGACTCGACGCGGATTTGGCGTGTATTCGATGCGGATTCGACGCGGATTCGACGCGGATCCGGCGAGGTCGACATGGATTCGACACGGATTCGACGCGGAGAGGGCCGCGACGGGACAGACAAGGTCCCCCGAGGATGCAGCCGCAGAATCCCGCCTCTCCGCCGCCCAGGGCGCGCGATGCCCAGGTCGAGGTGCTCCCGGGGACGGGCGAAAGCGCGCGGCCAAAGCCGCCCGAGCCCGCAGCAGCTGGGAGAGCGGTGGCACCCGGGGGGCGGCGAGCCGAGGCTGCCCAAGCGCCATCTCTTCCTCCTCCTCCTCCTCATCCTCCTCCTCCTCCTCCTCCTCCTCCTTCCTCCTCCCCGTGGATCGGAGGGAGGAGATCCGACGCCAAGACCACGATGGGGGGGCCACCTCCAGCGAGGAGAGGTCCGCGATGCCCCCCCGAGCTGGAGACCGGGGACGTCTCGAGGGAGGGGGGGAACCACACCACCAGTGGTGAAGCCCCCCCTGGTCCTCGCATCTCCTCGCCCTGGTGGTGTTGGTGCCGCTTGTCCTTGTTCCTACATGGAAGCGCCTTCCTGTCAGGCGATCGCAAGCATGGATCAAGGGGGCGTGGATTTGCGACGTTGCCATGGAAAATCGCAGATCTCCGCCGCAGAGCGAGGCGGTACTTGCCGCATTTTGGGGAGGGCACCTTCCCCGATCCATGGATTTGGTGAGCGCGCGCCTAATCCATGGATCGCTAATCCATGTTTGCGCACCCCCGATCCTGAACGATACCCAAAGCAGATGCGGGGGTCACCCCAACATATACTGATACTGTGTGCGCGCCGCCCCCCGGGGCGACGCGCGCACCGAGAAGTCTCATAGTATGTGCGCCGTGGCGGCCGCTTTCTGGCCACACCGCTAGGCAAACGATCTGCTACAAAATGGGCACATTACATGTCCGGATCGGACGTGCGCCTCCAGGAAGGACATCCATCCGGTATTCGTGCGCCCCTGTGCGCCCCAACGGCAGCGCCTTCCTGAACGAGGCCCAGGGCAGATGCGGGGGTCTGCCCGCTCAGCCTGCAGACGCCAGCGGGGGCGACGCCGGCGGGGGCGACCCCCGCCCGCCTCCTCGATCGGGGCACGCGGGGAGGCGATGGCGCAGCCCTTGGCATCGCTCGGACGTGTGCATTTTTCCTTCGGCGAGAGCCATCGAGGAGCATCCTTGATCATTCGGCGGAAAAAACACGCACGAAACCGACAAAAAACACAAGGAATGGACGTCCGAGCGATGGCGAGAGCCAGGGGCAGCAGCCCTGGACGCGTCCTGCGGCCGTGCCCCGGCGGGCGCCAGGAGGAGGAGGAGGAGGAGGAGGAGGAGGAGGAGGAGGAGGAGGAGGAGGAGGGATGGAGGGAGGAGGAGAGGGAGGAGGAGGGGAGGAGGAGGAGGAGGGGGGGGAGGAGAGGGGGGGGAGAGAGGAGGAGGAGGAGGAGGAGGGGAGGAGGAGGAGGAGGAGGAGGAGGAGGGGGAGGAGGAGGATCGCTGCAGACCTCGGGCCCTCCGGCCCTCGGAGCTCCGGGTTCGCGGGCCGGCGCCTGGCTCGGCGGCGGGGCGCTCCTCGGGGCGGGGGGCCGCGCTGCCTGCGCGGCAGGACGTGGGCCTGCGATCGACCTAAAACGACGCGAAGATCGGGACAAAATCGGATCGGGATAACTCGAAATCTCTGAGAATCGGCGGGTTTGGAGGATGTATTGGGCGTCGCGGCCGCTCCAGAGCGTTCCGGAACGCTCTGAGTGCGCTCCGGAACGCTCTGGAGCGATTTATCCCGATCCTAGCCCTCTTTTACGACCACCTGGCGTTAAGTCGGGCCTGTCCCCCTACAGGGGGATTTTCGACGAAAAATAACAAAATAGTCCAAGAACAGTCCAGAAATAGTCCAAAACTAGTCTGGGGACTATTTTTTGAGCATTTTTTTGGCCATTTTGGAGCATTTTTGGGGTACTTTTTATTTTTCGTCGAAGTCCCCCTGTGGGGGGACAGGCCCGACTTAAACCTGGCGGCCAAGGGCCGAGTGCGCGCAGGGCCCGGTGGAGCAACCGTGCGGGCGCACCGCCTTCTCCAGGGAGACCGTGCGGAGTGGTGTCGCCAGGCGCTGGACGTGCACCGGCAGCCGCTAGAGTGTGAGTGCAGTGCGTCCAGCGCTGACAAGCAGTATTCGGCTCAGGTCCCGTGGGACTTATCCAGATTTGCATGCCATTTCTTGTGAGTCGTGCCGTGCTTTCACCTGTGCTCATCTGTGCTTTCGTGTCCCAGCGCCCTCTGGGGCCCAGGCCTTGCCTCGGGGCCCAGGCCGACAGCCAGCGGCCCGGGGCGACGGCCGAGGCGTTGCCCGAGCGCAGGGGGACGCGCTGGAGCCACACCTCCGCGAGGCCTTCTCCTGACAGCTGGGGCGACGGCGCCCCCCTGCCATCGACGGTGCGGCGCCCAGCGTCCCCGCAGACGTCGAGCTCGCAGCGTGGCAGGAGCAGCGTGGCAGACGTCGAGCATCGGGGATGGACAGACCTCCCACCCTGACACGTCGATTAAGGACTTGGCCGCTTTCGGTTCGCGAGAGGGCGTCGCGGCCGTCATTTTTGCGGGTCCAGGTCCGTCGGTTTCGGTCCCAGGCCGCTTTCACTCAGGGGAGGTCTACTATAGGGAGGTTTGTCCGCCGCCGAGAGCAGCCGGGCCGAGCTTCTGGGCCGAGACCAGCCGAGCTCCGTGAGCACTGCCAGCCGTGGGCCGTCCCAGGCGGAGTGGCCGGGGCCGACGAGAGCAGCGCCGACCACGGCCAGTAGGCGCCAGCGGTGGAGCAGGCGACCCTCGCCACCGAAGAGGCCGACCCGAAGCAGCGGCGGAGGTGTCGCGGGCGGGCAGGCGAGCACGACCTCCGCCAGACCAGGCGGAAGGGATGCCCCGGCGGGACCCACCTGCTCTCGATCGCTCATTCGACGGCGCGCGAAGAGGGGTGAAGGCAGAGTGAGCGGGCCCTCTCAGAAGGCTCAGAAACCTCCGCCCTCCAAGAAGCTGATTCAGCTTTCTCCGAAGCCACGGGGGCCTTCTCATAAGGCCGGGGGGCCTCTGAGAAGCCCTGCCGCCTTCTTGGAAGACCTGCCCAATCTCAATTCCTCCATCTCAATTCCTCCCTGGGCGCGCCGCCAACTCAATCGCTGCCCTTCGCAGATTTGACAGAGACCCCGATCAGCTGAATATGTCACGCGGCGCCCAACCGGGTTCTTGCATCTTCGGGCCGATGCTAGTGGCGGTGATGACAACAGCGGGTGATGATGATGACGACGGCGGCGACGACGACGACGATGCTGATTCTTCTTTTTCTCATTATGAAGATGAGGACGAGGATGAGGATGAGGATGAGGATGAGGATGGTGATGGTGATGGTGATGATGATGATGATGATGCTGCTGCTGATGATGATGATGATGATGATGATGATGAATGTCATTCTTAGAATTATTATTGTTATTCGTATGGTTATTAGTATGATGATGATGATGGTGGTGCTTCTGCTGATGATGATGCTGATTATGGTGACGATGATGAGGATGATGAGGATGAGGATGAGGATGATGATGCTGAGGATGAGGAGAAGGATAAGGATAATGACGATGACAACGATGGCGACGATGACGGCGATGACGACGACGATGATGATGATGGTGATGATGATTCCGATGACCATGATGATGATGTTGATGATGGTGACGGTGATGATGATGATGATGATGATGATGGTGAGGACGATGAGGAGGATGAGCATGAGGATGATGCCGATGGTGGCGATGATGATGCTGCTTATGATGGTGGTGGTGAAGATGATGATGGTCGTGGTGGTGGGGATGATGCTGGTGATGATGATGGTGGTTATTGTGGTGATGATGAGTATGATGCTGATGGTAATTATTCTGATGATGGCGACGACGACGATGATGACGATGATGCTGCTGATGGTGATGATGGTGATGATGGTGACGATGCTGATGATGGTGGCGATGCTGCTCATGATGACATTGCCGATGATGATAATGATGATGATGCTGAGGATGATGATGGTGTTGGTGGTGGTGGTGGTGAGGATGCTGCTGCTGATGATGATGGAGTTTGTGGTGTTGGTGCTGATGATGATTGTGATGCGATGACGATGATTATGATGACGACGATGCTGCTGCTGATGGTGATGATGATATTGATGATGCTACTGTTGTTGTTCAAGATGATGATGATGATGCTGATGATGATGATGATGCTGCTGATGATGATGATGTTGATGGTGATGCTGCTGATGCTGATGTTGGTGGGTGTGATCGTGATGATGGCTGTGGTGGTGGTGGTGGCGATGGTGATGATGCTACTGATGATGCTGCTGATGATGATTATGTTGATGATGCTGATGCTGTTGCTGATGATGCTGATGATGCTGATGATGCTGCTGCTGCTGATGATGATGATGATGATGATGATGATGATGCTGATGATGCTGATGATGATGATGATGATGTGAAATGCTTAGGATTATGATGAGGAGCATGACGCGGAGCAGGAGAAGTAGGAGGCAGAGTTTCAATAGGAGGACGGCAACGAGGAGGAGGAGGAGGACAAATAATAACAAGAAGGAGACGTAGAAGAAGGGGCAGTTCTGTCCGCAATGGTCTGGGCGCGCGGCGAGGTGTTCGTCAGCAGGCTCAACGAGAAGATAAAGGTGAGCTCTTTCCGCTCTGCCCTGTCGACCGCGCTCGTCCGTCAGGTCTACGCTCCTCCAGCTCTTCCCTCTCCCTCGTCCTCCCCCTCTGCCGTCTCCCCTTCGCCCGCCCGCCCCTCGTCCCGCTCCTCCCTTCCCTCGCCCCAGTCCCGTAGTCTTCGTACCCCCCCCCCACGCCTCCAGCGGCTCCCCCTCTAGGCATCCCCTCCTCCTCCTCCTCCTCCTCCTCCTCCTCCTCCTCCTCCTCCTCCTCTCCCCTCCCTCCCCCGTTGCCTTCCCCCCCCCCCCACCACTCCCCCCGCGCCTCAGGCCGCCGCGATGGCCCACGAGTTTGCGCGCGCTGGTGAGCACATGACCGTGCGCACCCTACCTTGGCATCGCTCGGACGTGTGCATTTTTTTTCTCGGCGTGGACCTACGAGGAGCATCCTCGACCATTCGGCGAAAACAACACGAACGAAACCGAAAAAAGTACAGGGAATGGACGTCCGAGCGATGGCGAGACCCCCCCCCCTCGAGTGCGCAGTTCCAGTCGACTCGTGCTGCGCAGCGCTCGTGGCTGCACTCGCTTTTCTTTGCTCGGCGAGGCCAGTCCGCACGCCCAGCAGCGAGGCTCTCGCGCGCCTGCGGGAGGCTGCGGGGCCCGGGGGAGGAGGCCCCCGATCCTCCTCCTCCATCCTCCCCTTTCGACTAGACGTAAGAGTGACCTTTCGCCGGAGTGACCTTTGGTGCGGGCACAGATGGGCCCTCAGATGGCTGAAAACGAAGCGGTAGCAGCGGCTTGCGCGCCCAGGTTTGGTCTCCCCGCGGCCCCCCAAAAGCCGCGCACCAAAGGTCACTCTTACCCAGGGTCACTCTTGCGTGTAGCCGACCCTTGAACGGTCCTCTTT